CGTAATTTATTTTATTAGCAACTTAAACTATTTTATATTTATTCAATAATCTGTCAAAAGCCGTTATCATTATTTCATTATTTCAGTTCAAACGTGAATATTTAACCAAATTTTTTTTTTCAATACTTTGTCCATTTATCAAAAATATTCGCATATTTTCGAGCATATTTTAAAATCAACTAAATCAAAGCTATTTATTAAATATGTTTGATAAGACACACAATAAAAGAAAACTGATTGTTAATTATTTCCAAGGACCACTCGAATTTTTCCAATGATTTTCTGGATTTCTTTTTTTCAGTGGATTTCTAATGAAGAAGATAAGCGAGTTTATTGGAAAAATTTTAATATTCCAATAAATAAATTTAAAATATTAAAATTGAAGAAAATATTAAAATTAATTTTTATTAAAATTAATAAAAAATTGTATACAAAAAAGAAAAAAAGAAAGTATTAACGTGATGAACGACTATTTTGGCAAAATAAAAATTTCCTCGAGAAAATTTCTTTCCTCAAATCTCAATTTAAGCTTTTCTCACCCATCTCAATTTGAAAAGCACCTGAAATGTTGGACATTTTTCTTATCCTTTCCCAATATAATAAAATAATTGTCATCGTATTATAGCGAAAATATTTCTGTTGTATAGTTTTGCATATCGATAATCGGCTGACGGACGTTTAAACCCACAGTGATATGTGACACTTTTTGCATTATTTACTAATCCCTTAATCTTTATCCAAATTTTTTGAAAAGAAATGACAAAAATCACAAAAAAATGGCTTTTTAAAATGGCTTTTAAAACGGCTTCACGTTTCATATGAAAAAAAAATTGACAAGTAAACTTTGGCAAGCAAAATTTTTTTTCAAACTTTAAAAACGATTAGATCATTTTTCGTTGGATCCCAAAGTTTCCATCGCGAAGATTCGATTACTCGAGCCTTTTGCTCTTTTCGTTTCTGCAATACTTTTTGATAAAATAATCAAAAAAATTTTTTTAAATTTCATCTCTCTTATACTTTTTTGATCATTTAAAAAGAGTACTGGCCAGTGTTAAATATCCATCATTGCTTCCTTTTATTCTCTCCCTTATTCCGTCCTTCATCCTCGTAATTTCTTTAAATCACCGTATGCAAAAAGATCTTAGCTTATTGTATATTGTGCTTTCTATTATTTATGTAATAAAATTATATAAGAAATAGTAAAAATTGCCAAAATATAATTGTATCCGCGTTAAACTGCCAGATTGTGTTTGTCACTTAATTGAGAAAATATAATTAAAAATTTGCAGATTAAGATAAATATCGTTTGTATTTGATATTAATTATCAATATTAATTATAATTTATTGAAATAATCAACTAGGAAAATGAGATTTTCGTTTTCATAATTCCAAAAAGAAAGAAAACAAATTTGATATATGAAAAAAAGATTTAATGAAAAAATGCATTTTATTTGCACAACTTGTTTAAAAAGCTGATTTCATTTTTTTATTTGTCACTTATTTGCTGTCACTTTTTATTCAAACTAAGTGGGAAAAAATTCAAAAAAAAAAGAAATCTTTCTTACTTTAAGAGTATTATCCTACTTGAAGATTTTTCTTAAAAACTTTGCAAATTTTTATGTCAAATGAATCTTATGTATTTAATAAATCCAACTTGCAAAGATTGCTTTTAAATGAATGCAAAATTATTTGAAGATTTTTTGCTAAAGCACGATAATATTTTCAGTCCCACTGGTTCCACCGATTGTTAGGATATCACCTTGTCACCAGAGACTAATTAGTTTAAATAACTTGGAATAGGTTGGTTTAAACTGAGAAAGGCCACATATTATTCTCATAAAAGATCCAAATTTTTTGTTTTTTTAAGTATTAGAATGAATTCTAATTTATCTTCGAGGATAAACTGATAAAGCTGATAGGTGACTTTGGTTTAATTTAATTGCTGAATATAGCGACAGAGTGGTTCATTTATTTTAATACCGAAGTGGTTATGCCAGCGATCCACTAATATTGCGCTTCTAGCCGCAGCACCACTAGCAATATCTATTCCCAAGAAAGTTCCTAGCTAAATTTAACTGGCCTAATAGCAAATAAGCGGAAAGAAAGCTTTAACCAGAAATGATGAGTAAATCATAGATGAAACTGAAATATAGAAGTAAAGTAAACCATTATGAGCAGAAGGATCGAAATCTCTTTCTTTTCTTAGTGAATTGAAATTCAATTTTCCTTTGCGTGACCATTTTAATTTTATGTATAAACATACTCCAGAAAATAATAGAAAAATTAATATAATAATAATAATAAATATTATAATTAAATCAAATAATTCCATATTTTTATACGAATATTTCGCTGAATTAATAAAAATTTAAAGCATATTTATTGAAGCAAACTATACTCAGAAAACATGTGAAAATTAAGCTTTTGTATGGTGTAATTTTTATGGATTTTAATGCTCATAAAGAATAAATATATCAATAGAATTGAAAATCGGATGGTTGCTGGGCTGTTATCACTAATTCATCATTAAGTGATACTTTGCAGAAGTTTCAAATAGTTTCAAAACTTTCAATAAAATTTCGAGAATATTTTTGAAAATGATCATAGGTTAAAACTTAGCAAATTTTCAATTCAAACTGATAAAATTCAAAAAATACTAATAAGAAAATTCGTCGTATGCTGAATGGGCTCTATAAATTTCTTTTAAAATCTCGTCATGGAATGACTTCCATTTTTTCCTATTTTTTTCAAAGAGTCCTCACCATTACCGGTCAAACTCGCTTCACTGGCTTGTCGCATTGGGCAACATGCCAGGGTGTCCCTTGGCGATAGAAATACAGGTGAGTCGCCAGCATCACTCGGATTTTTGTACAGGTTTACTCCAGCGGGGAATCGAACCTCAACATCGGAGCTCCAGGTTGAGCAACAACCCACTTAGCCATTCTATAAATTTCTTTTAAAATTTCTTCAATGAAACTTCCATTTTTTCCTATTATACTTCTTCAATGTCTTTCCTACCCACCTTACCTCCTATCATTGTGATTTTACAATTTGTGCGTGCCATGAGACTTTATGGGGCATTAATTTTATGGGAATATGGAATTGGAGAATGGAGAATGAGGATGTTTAATAGCAATAAGATAAAAATGGTATAAATATGTTGATAACAGGTCGCAAAATGGTATAAATAGGTTAATAATACGAAGATGCACTGAAGGATATTAAAGGAAAATGATCGAATCTTAAAGCGTTAGCCCTTAAGCGATAGGATGAAATTTGAGGTTTTATCAAAAATTTTATAAAAAAGCCGAAAATTTATGGAGTGAGAAAAATATTCCATATTCTATATATTCTAAATCAATGAAACTAATTTTTGAACAATCGAACAATTGCTTATAAATTATAAATTCAAATTGCATTTTGACAAACTGTTTCGTTGATCAATTCGCTTGAAAATGCAAATTTTCCAATTATTATGCAACTAAATAATACAGCGATCTGTGTTTCGAGCAATTATGGAATTCGTTTGGACTGAACTTTTTGCCTTTTAAAATATGTTTGAGTCATAATAGGGAAAAATTATTCTCAAAATGAGATTGTAGAGTTGAATTGCTTTTTTTTTTGTGGGCTTAATTTCTCGTTAGGCTTGTTTCGCTGGCTTGCCGGACCAGATAAATCATGCCTGGAAGTCATTTAACGATCGAAATGATAGGAGTAAGTTAGAAGCGTTGTCCAGATTTCTGGTGAGAATACAGCTGCAAATAATATTAGCGCACCGAAATGGGACACATTCAACCGTTTTACCCTCACCGAAGATTTTACCTTTAACTACCGGCATTATGTTAAATCTCATATTTAGATATTCAGATAAATGGTATTTTACATAAATTACCAAATAGCTTTATCATTAAATAGCATTATCATTCTTTATTTTTATGGAAGTAAGCGTTCCCATCAATTTCTATCGAAAAGTGGTATGGTATTTGAATTTTCTCAATGAATAGTCAATGAAGATAGCCAAAGCGGAAGTACTTAAAGAAAGAATTGCGTGAAACAATATTGCCCTCTATTAATTCAAATACAATTTTCAGTTTCACCTTCTTCCTCAGGAAAGCACTTTCATCATAAATTATCCATGCTATAGGAACAAAGCACTTCAGATAGTTTTTTTTTCGGAGAAATAGGTTTTAAAATTTTTATTTTCAAATGAAAGTTAGCACCTTTTTTAAATATTTTATTTACATGAATTTTACAGAAATGCGGACGATTCATGAAAGAAAACTTAAAATTAATGAAAAAATTATATTCTATATGCCTTTTCTAGTATTTAACACTCATCAATAATTGGCAAATATATCATTTGAATAATTCATTATCACATATTTTAAATCCAAAATTATATATATCGCCGGAATAACCTACTAATCAAAGTTGGCGACCTTTTTACAATTAGGGCCATTAGGCGAGAGTCTTTGGTAGTTCACCCTTTATTTTCTAGGCATTTGGTAAAGGATTCGAGGTTGAACCGTATCGCCCACGGAGGCTGTGAAGGGTTTTTATATATACAGAGAATTAAGAAAGGAGAATTATTTCTTCCGACGACATATACTTGTTTATAAATTATGTATCATAAAAATTTCTATATAATACAATCCTTAAGTGATCAAATGAATATATAATAGTTATTATTTAGTTATAAATAATAGTTATTATTTTGAAAAAAAAACTAGGTAGTGAAAATTATTAATTGAGCAAATAATTTAAATTATTTAAAATAAATAAAAAAATAAATAATATGAGAGATGATAAATTTTTTCAATAAAATTGCCAAAATAATTGTGTTCAAATTATCAGAAATTTTTTTAAAAAAATCTTTAACTTCTAATTTTAATTCACTTATTTAAGTTGTTGCATAACTAAATTCAATTCAAATAACTAAAAGATAAAATGATAAATATTTAAATTATTATAGAAATGTACAATCACTTCCAAGCCGACTTTATAAATTTTCGTCGTTTCTCTCACTATTTTTCTCAATACGATTGGAATTGTTCGAACGAAAAAATGCAATAGCAAGTCCTTCGCTGATAAAAAATATACAAGATAGTAGTGAAAATACCTGAAAATTTGCTAATTAAGGTCGAATTATAAAAATACGCCGAATTCATTCAAACTATTCCTTTATGACAAATCTAGTAGTTAAGCTTAGATTATAACTACTTATACCACTACATAATAATTATCATTTATTTTTAAATAATAATGAGGAAATGAGAAAATGAGATTAATGAGAGAAACTAACGCCAGCTAATGCCCATCCATTTATTGCACATTGTGCATCAAAATATGGCTCCACAGTATTGAAATCCTTTCGCAAAATTTCCTTCCTATAAAAGTCGTTTAGCCATGGACATGTACTGTAATGCATTTCTAGGCCGAAAACCATTAATGCAAAAGGCACTGATCCAAATGAATAGGCTATAGACTGAAAATTATGTTTTGCATAAATTTGTTCGGTTAAAGAGATTAACACAAAAAATTAATGGAAAAAATTGAATTTTGGTTAATTTTATTTTGCTTTAGACCAAATTAATCAGTCCAAAAAGATTAGAAAAGCTTATACTAAAGCGATGTATATATTTTAGAAATTATATTCGGAGGCAGGGGCTTACTTCTACCAGTATGAGGTGGAAATGGCTTGATGAGTTTTTGCTCAATTTGGAGCGCCGATGCTGAGGTTTTATTCCTGGCAGGAGTAAACCCCTGCCAAAATCAGGGTGATGCTGGCGACTCACTTATACTTTTATCACCAAGGGATTCTCTGGCTCTTGCATGTTTGTCCAATGTGACAAGTCAGCGGAGCGAGTTTAACCAGTAATAGTGAGGATTCTTAAAAAAAAAAAAGAAATTTCGGAATAGTATGGGATTCAGAATTCCACTTATATCTGTTGTATTGATCAATATTATGTGACTTGTTATCATTAAATTATATATAATTTAAGTAATAATAGTAATAATAATAATTAAAGATGAAACTATGTTTTTTGTTATATAGTTTTTTTAAAAGGCCTTGGCTTAGCCTTGATTCGTTTCCATACTTTGTTATTTAATAATTTATAGCAGTTATAGATTAATGCAGACAAATCGTTTTCTGATAAATTTACCGCTTTTCTTATAGATTTTTGCTATAGCTTCACGAAAACTCCACAGAGAGACCCCTTATGTCTCTACAATTAAGTGGAATTAAATTAAAAGTTAAGATAATCTTTTAGTTATATTATTAGTCAATCAAATTGAAGAGAAATCGAAATTTACAAATAGTTTTATGAATAATCGCATAAATTACAACATATATTGGAGGGAAAAATTAGCACAACTAATTATGCCAGAGATTTTATTCAAAATCTCACAGCAAAGTACCATTTGCTTGGTTTTAACTTGAGATGTTTCTATACCATCGCAATGATTCTACTATACTATATCATTGGCATCAAATTTCGCATGCATATATATGTATATTCTCGTGAGACTTATAGACTACTATCATATAGCTTCGATTTTTGCAGATTCCTTTAAAATTTTATTTAGATTATTCAGTCGGAAAAAAAATATTCAAGACTAATGAATTTTTTATAATTAATAGAAAAAATTTCTTCATGAACAAATATTCCCTATTTAGAAAAATATTTATAGTTTTGTGCGATATTTTTAGTTTAGAAAATATGAGATCAGCCTGGAAGGCTTGTTTATTTTTATAATATATAATTTTTATAATTTATGATTATTTCGAGCAACAATAGTATGGCAAAGTTTCACAAGATTTGCCAAAAATCATAATAGTCGATATTTTTCCTCGCCCCTTTATAGAACTGAATTTTATCATAAAAATTAAAATTATGATGAAACGAAATGATATATAAGGAAATTTGCAGCCAAAATATTTAAGATCAACAATAAGTAGCAAATTACAAAATTTTATAAAATTGATGCGTTGCTAAAAAAAAGTTGCGAAAAATTTCGTTATTCTTCAAGTGAATTTAATCCATTCCATTTTATTCTAATTCTCATATCAAATTATAAATGAGTAAGCTTTAAGATAGATATAAATATATATTTATTTATAAATATATTTCATAGATTCTTCAAAAAATTTGCGAATAACTCGCTAATTTAATTCGCAACTCGCCGTTCTGAGAGATCATTTCTGGCTAGACTCGCTTAACTGGTTTACACCAGTCTAATTTTCTCAGAAATTCAATTTCAATAGAAGTGAGGATGAATAGCTAGCATAACTCGGCTTTTGAAGACAGATTTGTGCTGGAGTGGACTAAATTTAATTTCTAGACAGCTATTGAACATACTATAATTATTGTATGATTTGTTTGAGAATGGACCAAAGTATTGAAATTCGATCGAATGGTTAGCAGCTAACTGAATTACCAAACAGAAATTCACAGATAACTGCGCTATACATTGCGTTAAAATGCTTATTAAAGCTCTCTAGCATCGTTAACATTATCATATCATTAGAAGAAATTAAAGGTCAATAGTGCTCCAAAAATTATAAAATATTAATAAAAATATGAAATATTTTCTAATTGTAAAATGGCTCTCTTAATAAGCAAATTTTAAATCGTAAAGCCGACAAAAAAATGTGATAACAAAGTCGAAAATTATTTAAAAAGAAAAAAATCTTACTAAAAGACGTGAATTTTTTGGCGAACATAAATGAATTGCATGAATTATGAAAGTGATAAGAAATATTGTTATTGTGATTATACATGCGACATATTGACCGATAAGATTCATTTCTGTGAATGTTATTGGCAAATGAAGCTTTAAAGAATATTGCCACATATTTGGTGTTAACATTAATGAACGTTTCCCTCCTTGATTTGAATTGTATTGTCCAACGCCGGTTAGAATTAAAGAATTAACAAGAATAAGCATCAACTGAAATATAAAATTTCTATGCTTGAAATTATATCATTATTGACGTTTTTCAGCAAATTCTTATTTTCGTCCTATTTAATTTATTTTATTTAATTTTATTATGCTAATTTTATTAAGATCACTGGCGTTTGCTTCGTAAGATCACGAATGAATAAGTAATTAGAGAAAAATTAGGCCAAACAAAGCTTAGTTATTTATTAATAAGTGCTTAGCATTCCCGGCTAAGCTTATATCTATCAGATGGCGAAAAAATTTCAGCAGGATAGGTTTTTTACATCCGAATCATTCAAGAATGATAATCTAAATAATAGTGCCATATCGTGCTTCCTTTATAAGAAATAAGAAGAGGAGGGGAGGAGGAAGTCACAGAATATATCTTAAAACCTAGAAAGCTATCATTTATAAATTGGAACTTACTAAATTAAGGGTTCTCAACGTGCATATGATTCGATTTATATCGATACTGGTTTGCTTACGTGATTCCACTTCACATTCTAATGCTTGTGCGACTAATACCAATCTGAAATAAATCAAAATTTATATTGTCATTTCGAAACTACTCATATGACATTTCTAATTTTACTTGATTGTTTCGAAAAATCTTATTTTTATTCGATATTCATAATTTATGAGTTGAATGAAATGTTAATAAAAGTTAACTATAGTGCATTAATAGTTTAAACAAACAAACAAGTTTCGACGACAGCCAAGTAATAGCCAAGTAATATGCCTTCGTTTCCTGTCCTTTTAAAAAAATAAACCAAGTGTTATTAGGCGAGAAATCTCAATAGGTGTTTTGGACTCAACCACTTCCTTACTCCACTAAATGATTCTCACAAGAGAGGGACATATAAAAGCCTCACGGCAGTGAAATCAACAAAGCTAGTAATAATGCATCGCTTTTAAAACTATATTAATTGATGAAATTATGGATGGAATGGCTCAGCGGGTTTTATTGTTCTTATTTCAGGAAACCGTTGCTGAAATTGCATTCCCAGCCTACGTCGTCCAAAAATTCGGAAATTGCTGACGAATCACCTATACTTCTATTGCTAAGTGGTTCTCTGGTTCGTCAATTCAATAATCCAGCGGAATAAACTTAATTAAAAAAAGTTGAGAGAACTAATTGGAACCGATGCTTTACTAAATTAAAATTATTTAAAATTAAAAATATCATATAAATAATAAAACTAGAAGCATCGATTTATTTACCAATTTTCGACGAATTCTTTATTTATTATATATAGTGAATATAGTGAATTTCTTTTTATTTTTTGCTTAAAATATTAAACTTGATTCTATTTATCGAATAACATAATTTATCAAGTTATCAAATAACCTTATCAATTATCTCATTCTCAGATAACCTTTTTTATCAAGTAATTGTAATTATCAAATCTTTTTTCGTTGAAACATCTAAAAAAATTCAAAAAATCTAATTAGATATATATAAATTTTGGAATATAACTTCAGCTAAAATGAAGAGATATGATAAGATAAAGAGATAATAAATCCGTCTGCAAAACCTATTTAAAGTTCCTGTAGATGCTCGACGTTCATTGCTATAATATTTTTTAATCGGTCCATTATTCAAATTATTTAGCAATTTCATCTCATCGGTACCTTCAACGATCATTTTGCGATCATTTTCGTTCGCTATTTTCCATCGGATCGACTAAATTTGATAATATTAACGAAATTAACGGTATAAATGCAATTGTGCTTTTTCTTCACCATTTTAAATTTCTTCGTAAATTTTAAAAAAAATTTTTCAAATTTTTTATGACTGAGAGGGCACTACAATAGTTTATAGCGATAGTTTAGTCGAGTTGTCTCAAAAATTAGAAACTCCTCTTTTCTCATAAAACCGATTTTTATAGAAAGTTATAGAAAAATCAAAATTGATTATTACCTCATTTATAATACGAATTGTTGAATAAAATAATCGAATAATTTTAATGAAAAAAAGAAAAAATTAGTGATCCTTTACAATTGAATAGTTTTGAAATTGAATCATTATTTAAGAAAAAAACATTCGAAGAAGAAATAAGTTGAAAGAAGCGAATGATGATCAATATATTTTTATAAGATAAATTCGTCGATGCAAAATTTAAATTTAAATAAAAGAGATATGAGTAAAACTGATTTGAAACGATGGTGGTAGTAGTTTTAGCCTTCTATTGCATGTGAATAAATTTATTTATATATACAATGGGCAGAACTTTAGTGATTTAAACGTCGCTTGAAATGCATGAAAAACAACAAAATTCTCGGCAATGAACAATGAAACAAGAAAATTAGCAATACTATTAAATTATTTTGTTGTTCTTGAAGAAATATGAGTTTATAAATCGCTTTGGAATTCTAATAAAAAGTGCTGAATTATTATTGACTAATGTGCGATTTGTGACTTTCATTAATTCATCGAGATCCTTTTTGGTGGATATTGGTAATTCTAAAAGTTTCAGCTATGGCTTTCTTTGGTTTTCTTCGCGATTCGTTTATAGAGTTTATAGAGTTTGTGAGATTAAAACTACTACTATAAGCTATACTCCTTCAAATAAGCAAGATTTAAAAAAAGAAATCGAGCAAAATGCCACTGGCAATTTTACTCGCTCAGCTGGACTTTTTTTTGAAAAAATTTAGTAATAATTTTTTTTTGCAAAAATTTTGTTTATATATAATGAATTTATTGATGTTATTTTAAAAATTTTTATTTTTTCTTCCTAAATGATGGACATAAATGATGGACATAATGCATAAACAGAAACTCTGTGAGTCTTTCATTAGGGTAAGCGAGTACTGAGGAAGGAAATTTTAAGAACCACAGGTTTAAGGTAAGCAAATCTACGACACTGAAATCACAAGAGTTGAAATTATATTTCAATGGCATATAATTGGGTGCTTCACCCATTATAATTTTACAATTCTTTTGATATCAGAACAAAAATTCTGATATTCCGATTTTTTTCGGATAAATAAATTTCGGAAGTTAGTAGCTGCGGATTGATGATTTTTGCAAGCGATAAAAAAAAGAAGTGTCCATCTGCGTAGATTTTAGATGGATGCGATAAAATTAATTCACAACTTATGCTTAACAAAATATCTTTGTTGAATAAAAGTTTTGCTAAATAATACTTTTTCTATCTCATGAATAATTGCAGAAAAAAATAAATTAGCAATCAGTGGTCGTTATCAGCGGTTTTTCGACAACTTCAAAAAATTTTATCATTATTTTCATTTAACAAAAAAAAGAAAACATCGTATTCTTGAAACTTCGTGGATTCCAACCAATTCTTTTCTAATTAAAATAATTGCAAAATAGTTTGTTAAAATAATTTTAACAAAAAAATTTATGTTTTTGCTCAGACACAATTTGCTAGGGTGCAAAATTTTTAGCAGACCTTAGGAGAAATTTTAATAATTTTCCTGTATGCATGGATCGTTTTAGCATTCTGTAAATTATAAAAAAAAGGAAATAATTATTTTTATTTCATTTGCATAAATTTGCGAAAAAAAGAGGAAAGCATAAATACGACTAAAAAATAAGAATAAAGTGCAATTCTTAAAAGGCATAAAGTTTCCACGAAAAACAAAAAAAATCCACGAAATGGGATTATTTTCATTAGTTTGTCGGAAAACTATTTTAAATCGAATTGAATAATAAATTTTTTTTTGTTATCCAAACTTTATTTTGAAAAGAAGAAAATTAAATATTTATAATTTATTATTTATTATTTATTTGTAATTTTTCAATTCATAAATTCGAGAAGGCAGAGGATTTTCACTAATTTTCAACAACATGTCAGTCAATTTCTTGCACTTCTTAATTATCTTTTTCTTTTTTTTGTGATTCCCAAATGATTTACTCGATGCCAATAGTATTTTAATTTTAGAAAATTTTAAAAATAAGCCATTTTGATATTTAATAAAATAAAATAAACATATGATTTTTTAATATTTTTATTTCATATAATAATGATTTGCAATTCATTTCTATTTTATAAAATAAAATTTGTAAAATTTTGATAATTTTGAAAATTATAAAACAAAATTTTATATTTTTATAATTTTATAATTTTATAATTTTTATATGATAATAATTATTTTTAATTTAAAAATTAATATGGATAACATTTAATATAATTTAATAGAAATAATATTTAATATGGTTGAAAAATAACTATCTATTTTAGCAAACTTTTTTTTAATTTTTCTAATTTTCTAATGAAATTAAAAATAAATTAAATAATAAAGTTTCTAAATTTGTTTTAAAAGATTTTTTTATAAAATTATATAAATTTATTATATTAATTTATATTATATTAGCAAAATTATATAAATTTGTTCAATTCATCTTATAATTCATCTTCGAAATATAACTTTTTTTTGAGAAATTTGCAAATAAAAACCATTTTTATAAATATTTACATCGATGAATTCACTCATGCAATTAAATCATTTTCATCGTTAAAGCAAAACAAAGATTCAATTTCGAATTGCGATGACCATAAACAAAGATAGAGTCAAACAACTTTTATTTTAATTTGCCAATTATCTGCCAAAAACTTTTTATTCATTTGGAAAGAACAATAATAGTAACAGTGATAATAACGGTTGTGATAATGCTGATAATGATAATAATAATGGTACTAACATTAATAATGGTACTAATTTGGTTGTAAATTTCATTAATTTATATTATTCCATCAATTTCTATTATTTTTTTCATTTAATAATTTTTTAAGATTGGATTTTAAAAATTTCTCCTACAAAACTTATATCATTACTTACTTATTTGCTTGTTTTAACATCAAAATGATAATTCTCGGCCACCCAATCTTTGAAATCAAATATCTCATTAGTATCTCACCTCATATTTTTTCCAAAATCTTTGGTTTTGGCTTCTACGATATGTATATATTATATAATATGAATTGTTAGCCTTCAACCGAAATGTATGAACTTTTTTCACAGAGCAATGATTTTAAGAAAAAGGTTTTTCGATTCTAAGATCGTTATGAATTTGGATTGATAAAAATCTATGTATTATTAGTATTGCATATTCGTAGCATTTACGATGTTGTTAAGAAAAGAAAAACTATAAATATTTCATATCACAATTGACTCTTTTCTTCTATTCTTCTATTCCTTTAAAATATTGGAAGAGGTCGATAAGCTATAAAAAGAAAACTATATGTTTCAAGCAAAAAGCAAATGAGCCCAAGGCACAAAAAAGATTCTAGTGTTTTTACTTTATTTTCTGTATGTATTTTATTGTATATTGTATAAATTTGAGTGATGCTGGCAACTCACCTGCGTTTCTATCGCCAAGGGACTCCCTGGTATATTTGTCTAATGTCAACGAACCGAGTCTAATCAGTAATGGAGAAGGTTCTCAAAAAAATGAATATATTAATATGAATATATTTGAATGTTGCAGCTTAAATTTATTTTATAAAATCTATATGTACTGATAAGAATATTATGAAGAAGGAATATGAGAAGTTAAAAAAATACCAGAGGCTGAAAGAGAAACTAGGTGAAGATGTGGAAAATAAAGACAAAAATAGTCCAGTAATAATTAGAGGCCGAGGAACTGTGGTTCTCGTCTAAACTAAAAAAATAATCAACAGATTCCTGGA